GAAATAAGTGAGAGAGTGGAAGAAAGTGCAGAGGGTTCGAGTCACCTTGGATGACATCTGACATCGATACCCCTTCCCATTTTCCAGCGGAAGGACCTGTAAAGAGGAAATCGGATGGCATGATAGGCAACTCAGTAAAGATCGGACCACATCAGCAGCAGCCCTGTCTGCTTGCACAGCAGCATGAGCAGTAGGGGCTCTGTATAAGCAATCCCAAGACAGGACAGCAGAGGGAAGGCACAGGTACAACATAGTGTCAGCATCTTTAAACTGCAGTGGTACACGCCAACCAGATTCATCGCCACCTTCCCAAGAGCAACAGTCTTTCAGCAAGAGTCCTGAGAGAAGAATATCCTTAATCCAAATAGTGGCCAAAGAATAGGATATCCATTCTTTCCAACTGTAGACAGCTGGTCCATCGTGTTCCCTGGGCAGATTGAACGCAGGGGATGAGACTAGCGTCATAATGTAATGACTGCGAGGGGTTAAGAAAACTAATAGATCTAATAAATATTAGGCATTTGGAAGCAAAGATAATCAAAATCCCAGTCCTAAGAAATTCCCTATTCCAAATGTAAATAATGTAAGAAGTGTGTATGAAGCCTGTGATAGAAGAATACAACCAGAGAAAGTCAATCTTTTGGTTTTGCTCCTGAAATCCATTAGATCATGCATTTAGAGGGGTAAAGTGATTGATAGTACCAATAATGGAAAGATGTGGTTTAATTCCATCTTATCTGACACATTGAGCCCTTCGGATCTTGTGATTTCCTCCCATTCCTGCGCCGAAGTGAGATACAGTTGAGGTAAGAGGGACTATATGCCAGCCAACTCCGCAATCTCCTCACTTCCAGGGACAAAGTTCTGTTCTGGGCCATCGCAGAGCTAAGCAGGCCAGACCTCATGGCGTCTTTCAGTGGTGATTTTGCAGTGATTTTTGGGGGCTTCTTGTCGCTTCCAGAAGAGCAGCCGACATTGTTTCTGTGTCCCATCGTCATGTCCCAGTACGGTTGTGCCAAAGCTGGAGGCCACACAGGACTTGTTTCTTTTATAGGAATGTGCCGGGGGTTGCCCTGCGCCGTTCCTGCTGACTTACCTTCTGTGCAGAGCTTCTGTTTTGCCATCTTGCATTCCAGGATCACCGCAGGAATATTCGCACCCTTCCTCCGTTCCCTTGATTCGCCAGAGACAAAGTCCGGGTTTTGAAATCTGTTGCCCAATGCTAGCGGTTGAGTCTGATCCTATCACAGCAGTGTGCAAACTCACTGCTGCGGTCTCACGGTTAACAGGCTGCTTTTTCAGTGACCACTAGCGCAGCTCGGACGTTTGGGCCAGTTTTACTCAAGAGTTTTGTGTTCTTTCAGTTTGTTCTTAATTGGTGCAGAAACTGAAGTCCCTGATATTCTGCATAAGACCCCAATACAAAGAGAAGTGAATGAAACTTTGAACCAAAGACAGGCGGTGAAGTATGCTGACTGTTCGGTAGAATGGTTTTGTTTTGCTTTGTCAGAAACTGTGGTGTAGGTTCATGGAGATCTCAACAGGCTCACCTGTTTTCATCATTTCAGTTGTTGCCTTAAATGGGTTGGTGGTTTACGAGTTAAAACCTGTAATTGTTTAAATCTTCCAGGCTGTGCTCCCAGTTTTGTGGTAATTTAATGAGGAACTACACTGTAATTAAATATTCAAATTAGAAATAAGTGTCAATATGGCTTCTCATTGCCTAGAATGATGATTAATTGTATTCAAAACTCTAGTGGCCGACGTAATCTGAACAGAACTGCTGCTGTTGATTATGTAGCAATACACTTGCCATGTTTTTGTTCTAAGAATTAGACTGGTAATTGATTTGCCATATGCAACCCCAGCAAGCACGCTTAACAGATACGTTTAGAAACCTCGGGATTAGGTCCCGGTAATTTTCTGTTCTTTTTTTAATTGTTATTTTTGTTCTTTCTTCTTATGGGGAGATGAGCAGCGCGTAGCCATTACATGTACAGTTCTGGCAAATGTTTCTCTTATTTAAATCGCGCAAGAATGGTGCTCCTTGATGGAGGCTGGCCGAACCCTTGTCCACTGTTGTCCCTTCCGCTTGTGGTGGGTTGCTGTGCTGTGAAATTGTCCCAGGCTTGATTTCCACATGGAAATGGTGTTACCAGATTTGCACTGTGGGTGTGAGTGATTGAAGTGGTCCTGAAAGTCTGATGTCTTTGTTAAAGACTTTCTGTTCCACCTAGACAGAATCTCTCCTGAAGACTGAAATCAACAGATGTCGCAATCCATTTGCTAGCTGATTCCTTCAGTGACTCCAAAATTGAAGAAATTGGTTGGAACTGGCTGGCATTCGCTCCCTGAACTCCATCTAAAAAGTATCGCAAGAAATTGCCTGTACAGTCTGTGCATGTACCATTAAGCAAGCATATTGTTAATTCTTTTATAGAACTGCAGGTTTGGTGAAAGTGGCTGTAAATTCTGCTTTGACCGTGAAAACATCGTTTGATGGGTAGTAGAAATTGGGGTTTTAAGTGCATTCTGCTGTTTCTCCACCTGTGTGTGCACACAGTAGAACCACAGAGTTGAGGAACAGCTCATCAGTGGAGGTTGGCTGTAAAGTTACAGTGTGTTACAGTAAGAGGAGCAGTGATCTGACTTCCTTACCTTGTTAAACCATTTGGCTTAAGGTTCCCTTCATTTTGTAAGTGCCAAAGTTCCTTTGTAATGAGCTCAAGTAGGCCTGTATGTTAGTTTGTAAGGTCCTGCCTCCTCCTTTAGTCATAGAAAGACGGAAGAATAATAAGCACACTCACCCACTTAAAGGACAGCGAGAAAATGGAATGAGCTGTCTGTAAAGCTATTGAACTGTGTCCTTAAGAAAATCCCCTGCACCACATCTGCTAGCACTGCACTTCTGGTTCTGGGTGAGGGCTTTGGGCGAGTGGTTAGTTCATAAATGGGGTGTTCATATCCCTGAGGCCCTGCTGTACAGTAAATACATCGTGTCTGAGTGCTTCATATCCCTGAGCTGCTTCTGTACGGTATAAACTGTGGGTATGGGTGCATGTGTATATATGTGTGTGTGTGTTTTCATCTCTATGCTTTGTGTATTTCCTATCTCGGACATTCTGCTGTATAGTATATAATGTGCATGTATATAAATATGATGTGTATTTGTATACACATCTTGATGGATAACTCTTTTCCGTGATCGAGATCATTGAGCAATTTAAAGGGTTCTGCCGAAAGAGCGCGCAGGCATTTCCCACAGTTTATCTGTGTTTGTGAAATGTCTCGCTGCCTCCTAGTCATGTCATGTGTTTTTATGTTGGAGTCAACCTTTGCATTGGAAGGGAAGTCTTCATTAAATGTGGCAATCGGTTCCACAAGATTGATGCCAACCTTTTAAAAATTCACCACTGGCCTGGATTTTACACCGCCGAATGCAGATGTACACGGGCAGGAGAGAGCCGACCCTATCACGCAGAATAAATCTCAGCCTCAGACGTCTGTTCATAAATGCCGCAACCTGTCAGGAAGGTTGTTTTATTGTTATTGATATAAATTATTTCATTTATTTATTTAATTAATTAACACCCCACTGTAAGGTGAGCGAGCCGAATCCGCTGTCTGGCAGTAGGAAGCCAAACCTGTTGGGAGGCTGGTGCAGAAGTAATTTCATTAGTCTTATTTTCAGCAGAGGTAGTTTACTCAGAGGAGTTTCGGGAGGTAAGGCAGACAGAACGGAATCAAATGCTTTCATATTTAGTTTTGCGGGTTTTTTTTTTTTCCTCCAGCTTTGGGGCTCATTCCTCATCCATTGTCTGCCCGACCTTAAACATTACTCTTTTGTGCAAATCAGCCCAATGCATATTAAATCCCAGGATTCTGAATGTCATTTGACCTGGTCTTAAAACAGCTTCTTCAGCTAATTTCCTAGATATGTGTTTTTTGTTATTTTTTCCATCTTATTGTTGTTGTCGTTGTTTTTGAAGATGGTTGCAGGCATTCATCTCATCTTCAAAGCATGTCTAATACCTAATTCTACAGTAGGCACATTTCTGAATAATACGCTCGCTTATTGCATTCTGTAATTAGAGTGCGTGGGATATGGAGTTTCTTTCATGGTAACACTGTTAATGTGCACCAGTAGCTCTGCTCTGTTACTGCACATTTAAGTACAGCGTGTTTGTCGTTTGGCATATCATTTTTACGGAGAATTGAGTGAACAGTTCGCTATCGTTGATGCTCCCAAAGTAAATTCACACATCTACTATGGGAAAGGACTCGATATACATCCCCCAGTTGGCATGTTGACACCTGGAACCGATGCACCGAGACGAACATAAAAAAGGCAACTACTTGCCAAAATGTAAAAAAAATATATCTTAATAGTAATATATTAGTAACACCCTATTTCAAATGGGACTTTTGCAATCGGAATGGAAAAGGTTTGGTGCATCTCTAAAAATAGTTTAATAAAAGTGCATTTTTTTAAAGGAGAGGTTTGGTCCATATCCACCCTGGCTAGAGAGCAGTGAAGAGAGTAAAAGCAGGTGTGCAGGACACTATCGCCACAGCGCTGTGCATGTAGCAGCTCCTCACGGCTCAGAAGAGCCATCAGGGGAGCATTCTGCCCATCGCCGGAGTCGCAGAACCAGAGCCGTCTCTTCTGTGATCATTAGGCTTGTCATGTTCAGAACCCAGGGTCTCGGGGGGTAAACATCAGAGGCTGGGCAAGATCACTAGACAAAGGGCATGTGTGTGTGCGTGCGCAGACTGGTCCCACGAATGTCTCTGGCCGCTGTGGGGTGCCTGTCCCCACCCCGGCCACTTCTGACAGCCCTTTATTCCAAGAAGGGATACAGAGCCATGCAGAGTGAGCTCTCCATTCTCTCCCAAATAACGTTCTAATTTCTCGTAATGCTGCACCAAGCGTGTAGGCAAATAGTCAGCTTTGCATTTTTCCCTAACTACGTTTTGTTGTTCTTTTGCTGTCGCCACAGGCACATATCTATGACGCTTCCTGCTTGTTTCCGGGGCAAGAACAGCACCAGGCCGGACTACGAGCACCAGAACTCCAGCTTGTATGCCATATCCGGTGAGCTGCACACAAACCCGCCTTCTTCATTCTCCACTGAAACGTGTACACATCTACCGGCGTGCATTCTGTGTGCCTTCCCTGCGCGGCGTTTTAATGAGTGTGAGAAAGGAGGCTGATTAGTATGGGCGCGTGATTCTTCATTGATCTCCAGCCTGCTTTCCCTGAGGTAGTGCTGGGCTGGAAGAGCCATTTGCATTACTGTACACAGTGAGCTGCATACCTCGCAACCGCTGCTTTTTAAACCCATTTAAGCAGGTAATGTGTTAAATAATTAGCAATAACTATATGAATGGAAATTTGCAAGTGCAAATTTACATTTGTACCATGGCAGGCCAATTGGAAGCGCTGGGCCTAGCTAAAAATGGAGGAAAACGCAGCAGTTTAGAGCTTGTTCCGTCCGGCTTGTAACGTGCTCCTACAACAATTCCACAACTCCAAAGGCGCCCGAGTTACAAACAGCCTGAGACCCGTGGGGGTGAGTGCAGGTATTCAAGCTCCGCTTCGTGTCCGCTCTGTGTGGACTGGTAGCACAACGAGGCTCAGTTTCTGCTGGAGCTGCAGCCTTTATCCAGCCGTAGAGAGACACCCTGTGGTGAGGAGTTGTCATCTTTCTCCGAGATGCTGGAGTGGCGAGATGGAAAAGAGCCCCCAGAGCCACCCAGCTCCTAAATACTGCACCCTCCCATTCTGCTTTTCACATTCAATTTGAGGGCGACTCAGAACTTGACACAGTTAAACGTTCCACAGCCATCGTAAGGTTAAGCGGATATTACGGTAATTAGACCAAATCGTGATCTCCCTATCTGAACCAAAGGGGAATAGTTGGTGCATTAAGCTCCTGCAGCATGTTGCATGATTATTATTATTATTATTAATATGCTTCCTGCATTTCCTCTGTGCTGATCTGGTTTAACCTGAAATAAAAATCAAAAGGATGTTTGTACAGTACTATTATGTGCTGTAGTTTGTGTTAATTACATGCAGTTTGTTTTCTGTTTTGCTTAGATTAGCAGTGTGATTGTGGAAATATCTAACAGTCCTTGCGTAGATAAGCAGACACATATTGTAAGTGTTTTTTTTTTCCACAAAATTCCCTGAGCAATTGGGTGCGAGACAGTCCTCCGACTGCTGCCGTATTTTTCCTTACCCAGATCTGAACAGTATCTGTAGCAATAACAGAGGCGAGAGAGTCATAAACAGCCTTTTGCAGATTTTCCCTGGGTGTCAGGTGAGTAATTTCGCGGGCTGATTGGACATTAGTGAAGTGTTCTAGGAAGTGGGCCATGCTGCCCTCTGCACATCGAGGCGCAGACTGATCATTTCACTGTTGACCCAGAACGGGCAGCAAAATGAGAGAAGGAGGAATTGCGCGATGCTGTAGTTTCCTGCAGTGCAAGCTGGCCGTCGGTGCCTTGCGCCGTGTGCGAGGAGCAGAGGAATTCTTGCAGTCTGTAAATCTTCCAGGCTGTGTGACATGGCTGCGATCATGACACCCTCACTGAAGGCAGAGGAGCTATTGATCGGTTTTTGGGTTTTGACAGTCTCCGTCTGAGTTAAAACTCTGGAAAGCCTCACTGTCTTTAAATCTAAAGGATTTTTTCAAACCTAATTCTCCACAAAAAGAGAAATGGGTCTCTTTCTTAAAATGATTACTTTTTTATCCATCCCGTCAAAATGTGCCCTCAGTAAAGTTTAAAAGCAGAACTGTATTTTTTCTAATAATCACGGAGATTGTTTTAATGTTCTGGCCCAGGTCCTGTTTTGCACACCATAAAATGTGCGTTGTGTATTTAGTTTTGTCAGCAGCAGGGTCTGTATTTTAAGGGTTAAAATCAGTCTTTGCAACTTGATTTCATTAAAGCAAAAAAAAAAACTAAAGAGAACAAAAAATTGCAGGCAGACGGCTGATGTGTGTTAATTGTAAGGTGTATTGTACGTGCTGTACAAGTGGAAAGGTGTGTTGACAGGTGGCCAGGTTCAGTCTGTATGAAACCATGTGTGCTCTGTCAAGACTGCGCAGGCAGCTCTTTTACGATTGATGAATTGCCTGCTTTCTTGATTAAACCTTCCGTCACTTAAAAGCAAAACAAAACAGAGGAGAGGGAGGAGATAAAAAAGCCAGCGCTTACCATGGCAGAAAGGAGCATGTTGAATCTCTTTTTCTGCCTACAGTATGTGCAGATGTTAAGCACAGACTGTGTGGCATTTATCACCAGAATGTTATTCTGCACCGATTTGGTTGTGGGGCAAACTAAGTGTGCTGACCAAGTTTCGTATACATTAATATCACCCCTTTTATTGTTCAATAGGCATAATGATGATGATAATAATAATAAAATGAGTAAAAACTGTTTCTTGCTGCTTGTCTTCCTTTTCACAGATAAGGCCAAAGCCACAGTACATTGTCATTACGCTGCATAAATTGGACTGAAAGAGAAGAAATATTCAGACAACTTTCAGACAATACTTCATTATCGTTATATGAAGTTATGCAAGGGGACACATTTTAAATTATTAAAATGAGAGAATTGCACATGTACTTGTATATCCTAGTTTTTACAGCTTGGAATCTGTGTTGTACCTCTGGAGGAATGGAGGAGGTCTCTGCTCTGTGAAGGTAGGGTGGTAGGGTTAGGGTAGTGAGCCATATGGTTTCAGAAGAAAGTTTGTGGGCGGACCTTTGAATACAACTCTCAACACTGTTCCAGTTGTGACTTGGTACATAGAAATAATTGAAGTGCTAAGAAACCATAAGTGTTCGGCCTTCCTTTTTTCTAGAAGACATTTTTCTGAGGAGAATAGTTCTCGCCGAGTTGAAGGTATCGTCCTCAGTCAGTGTTTCACACACTGTAAGGGTTAGCCCCAACACCTTTAATCCTGAGTCGAGCGTCACGCACATAGCTTCGAGATTTTGGAGTCGCCTCAGGGAATATTAGGTGTGTAATAAAAACAGACCTGATGAAAGTTCAGGCATTAACATATCTATTGCATTAATCTAAAAAGCGAGAGATTTGCCTTTCTGATTTGACCTAATATGAAGCTCAATTATTTCAGTATCTGTTAAAAGAAGGGCAATTAACAGGAACGGCAGACAGTTCATCCTTTCAAGAAAAAAAAATCGAAATTAACTTCAGTTTTGCAAAATATCCCGGCAGAGCGATGACAATGATTTTTGATTTCCCTGAACCGATATTAGAATCCTTATTAAAGTATGGGCATCTGCTTTTAATTTGCTCCAAATAATTGGAAAATGCGATGAAGCTTTCCAATTAAAGCACAGCTTTATGCTGTTTAATAATACCCCCATAATATTATAGCTTATGAAGTGACAGGTGAGTTGGTGTATGAATAAAACATAAAGCAGCAATAAGGGGCACAAAAACTGAGACAGTTGTTGGGGGCTTTTAAATGCTCGATGTAATTTGCATATATTAATCTTCTCTTTTCAGGCTTATCAAGCATTCTTCAGTATTTGAAGTTAAAATAGTGATGACAGGCAAGGGTACGCTTCGTTTTTTCAAGGATTTATTACTTGTATAATTCCGGATCTTTAATAAGCCGATATGACTGATCCTCGTAGTTCTGTAGAATTTGGTTAATTGTTCCAGATGGTGCGCGCTGATTATGCAGAATTACTTTTTTTTTTTCTCCTCACCGGTTTTTGATTGACTAACACAGACGGAAGAAAAAAAAATAAATTTTTTACAGCACTTTCATTAAGTGGCTTCACATCAGGTTTCAAACAAAAGTTACATCTAATCTTCTTTAGCAGCCCAGTGTGTGGCACGGGGTTCTGCAATGTAGCAATTTGTGCTCAGGACAAAGAAGTCCTGGAAACAGCAGTTTCTTTCATTTTTAACAGTAGTACAGACAGCTGGGGTCCAGGTTTGTTCTCTCAGTGTGTCATACATCATTTGCGAAAGTTCTGCCATATTTTAAAGTAACAAAACGTCTTAGCCTGAGGGATTAGAAAGAAGCCATCCCGGTCAGTGACAGAGAAGCCATCAGCCCAGTCTTCCTGCTCTGGCTGCTGTTGAGCCCTGGTTTTTCTGGTGCCGGCTGTTGATTATTTTTTTTTTACCGCCATCAGTGCATTTTTCAGAAGCAGGAGTCCATTGAATGCCCGCCTGGAATCTGCTTAGTATCAACTAAGTTGACTAAAATTAATTTTCTGTGGTTTCCTCCTGGTGGGACAAGGAGCAGATTTATCGGCTTTGTTTTAGATTAGATGGCACAAGATCTATGTCGTGCAATTTTGGTGCCATTAAAATAACCCTACTAGGAACTCTGAACCGGAGCCTGGCGTTTGAAGTGTTTAGTCGGCTGCCTTCAGTTTCCTGTCCGGGAGCCCGTAGGGAATTCAACTCTGCAGATCGGCTGGGGAAGCCGAGGGCTAGGTGATTGTTCATGTGCTTGTTCATATAGACAACCCCTCAGACTTTAATTTGTCTGCGTATACAACACTGTCCATCCTTTTCGCAGAAGTCTTGTGCTCTGAAGACGCTTGCAAAATGCGTCAACACGTGTGCTTGTTAGGACTATCGTATTTGAACATATTTTAGTTTGGCATCGTCTCGCAAAATCACGGAAAACATGGTTAGCATGAAAACATGCGGATTGTTATCTATTGAGCTGCAAAACATAATTACTGCTGGAAGGTGACAGCAGTGACAATTCTAATTATTAATTTTTAAAGAGGAATTGATACTTTTTTTTTTAATTGACTCCAAAATAGATTTAGCTGTGGTGATGGCTACAGAGTTTGGGAGTTTCTTTTCCCAGACTCTTGTATTCTGTTTCTTAAGCATTTTTCAATATTCCTTTAATTTTTAAAAAAGAACAACAGCAGAAGACTTCACCCTTGCAGCACATTTTGACAAATTCCTCACTAAATCAATACTTAGCTGACATAATGTGATAAAGTAACAAGTATCCCACTAATTGATCTCTGTTTCTCATGTACTGTCTGTATTAAAGACCAGTGACGTGAACTTTGT